CCTTTTTTCAGAGGCAGAGGTTAGGGAGGCGATTAAAGCTCAAAAGGTTATCAGAGCACATGGGTGTGATGGAATCTGCCCAGAAGTGCTGAAAGTAGAGGAAATTGAAACGCCAAAACTATTGTGTTATATTTTTCAAGCACTTGATAGTATAACTAAGCAAGAACAAGCAGGATTCAGAAAGGGGAAATTTATGTATTGATCACAACTTCACTTTGCGTCAAATAATTGAATAAAGTAACAAACGGAATAGTGCAGTTTATATGAACTTTGTGGATTTTGAAAAAGCCTTTGATAGCCTGCATAGGGAATCACTATGAAAGATTTTGTATCCCTATGGAGTACCACAAAAAAATAGTACATTTGATCAAAGCTATTTACTTAGAGTTTCAATGCAAGGTAGTTTGTATTAATTATACAACATAAAGTTTCTTTGTCAACATAGGAGTCAGACAGGGATGCATACTATTATCCCTCTTTTGTTCAATTTGGTCATTGACTGACTGATGAAGGAAGTTACACGAGATAGAAAAAAGGCATCAGGTGGTTACTCACCTCTGTTTTAGAGGATTTGAACTATGCAGATGACATCAGCCTTATATCAAGCCGCCATGTGGACACTCAGGAAAAGATTGAAAGACTTTTAACAACAGCCCTTAAGATAGGATTCAAAATAAACACCAGTAAAACTAAAGTATTGAGAAATAATCTGAAAACAGAAAATCCAAAAATTTTAAATGATGAAGCAATAGAGGAAGTTGAAGAATTTATATACATGGGAAGTAAAGTTATTCCAGATAGAGCTCTGAAAAGGATGTAACATCAAGAATAAACAAAGCAAATCAAGCATTTGCCATACTTAACAAAATATGGAAGTTAAAGGGATTTAGTTTGAAGACAAAACTCAGAATATACAAGAGCAAAATTTTAGGAATACAATTATAGAACAGTGAATGTTGGAAAAATGACAGCGGGAATTACACATAAACTTAGACTTTTCAAAATAAATGTTTAAGGAGAATTCTACAAATATTTTGGCCAAACAAGATCACAAATGACGAACTGAGGAGGAAAACAGAATGTGCATTACTGGCAAATGTTATCAAAGTAAGACGATGGAGATGCCTTGGACATGTTCGCAGAATGCCTTGTGACATTCTGGCAAAAACAGCTCTCCAGTGGACAGCAGATGGGAATAGGAGACGTGGACGAGCTAAGGAAACATGGAGAAGGACAATAGAACTGGAAATGAAGGAATGTAAACTGATATGGGATACCATGGGCAGCAAAGCAGCAGACAGGCAGCAATGGAGATCACTTGTAAATGCCGTATGTGTCAACAGCGACATGAAGAGAATATAGATAGATAGAAGAGATTGAAAATATTCTTCTCTGCGTTCAGTGGCTGTTAACTCTGGCGAAAAGTTCTGGACTTTAGCATGGTTCCAGAACCTGAGTGTTGCGTGCATGTCTGCTTTCACAGATTTGGTTTATTTGTATCCAGACTCTTGGTTCCTTGCCTCTCGGAAGGATGAACAACTTTGAAGGAAATGAAAAAAAGATATGTTGAAGGAAAAAATAAAAGAGACAAAAGATAATATTTTCACCACTTTAAAACATAAGACTCTTATGCAAACCATACTGCGGGCAAAAGTTGAAGGCAAGTAAGCAACTGTTAGACAATAATGCAAATGGGAAGATAACATCAAACGATGGATGAACAGCAGTCATGAAGAATGTACAATAATAATGGTAGATATAGCAAGCTGGAGATTCATTGCAGTCAACATACACTGTGGAGATGGCACCTGACTGATGGCTCTGGTTGAGGAAATCACTGAGTAAAACACCATAGCAGTGAGATGACATGCCAAAAATCACTCAATCTCAAAGCCATGACACCATACTTCAGCTACAAATACATTCACCTGTATGAAACTTGCTTCAGCTTATATGCTGTGAGATTGACATCATCATCAGGGGGTCTTGTCAATTGTCCTGATAAGCTTGTACAATTAGTTGCTGGTGAATTTATTATGAACATTGGAGCACTCATGGAACATCCTGAGTGTAATAATCATAATCCTCCTATGAACTAAACAGAAGAAGAAAAGCTCAAGCCATCCATCTCAGACCATTTTTCTGCAATTCACTAAATACAAACTATAACTAGGAAGCTAAAATATGGAGGGGAAAATGAGAATGTCAACCAGAATCTTTATAAATGACTAAAATAAGAATTTTCAAGTACAGAGAAACAATGTCATCCACCCCCCCCCCCCTCCCCCGGCTCGGACTCTCCCCCACTGAACAGCTAGCCACCTGCTGAGAATGATGCACAAAGTGTTAACTTCAGAGCTTTAGGATGGTCCTCAGAAATCGCAGCAAAACTTCAACTGTGAACTAAATGATGCGTCCGTAAAATAAACCCACAACCTTCACAACATGAGGCAAATGGCTTGAAAACTAAGAAAATAATTTGAAACACCAGCCCTCAAATAGGGAGCTATGTGAAGAACTATAACAAAAATTGAAAAGTAGGTGACCAGAAACAGTTGTTAAAACAAGCCCTCATGACAATAATATCAAAAGTAATAATTTGTAGAATGTGTTACAGCTGGTCTTTCCACTGCTCTCTCTTTGCAGTGATCATAAAGTTCTCCAGTGCCTCTCTTCTCAAGAAGAACAGTTTTTGTCTCTATCTTATGGGTGTGTACAATTCTACTCTTTCACAGCTCTTACCAAGAAATCACTCTTAGCTGCTCTTACTTAGTAATATAGATTCCATTTATCATAAACTAAAAATTCCAGTAACATCAGAATATTCTGGTGTGCCGGGATAATACCAAGATTAAAATGAGTACCAAAAAAAGTCATAGGCGGCCATTTGTGCTGTTTGATTTGTACAACAGGGCACTAGCACCAAAGGCCTAGTCATTCAATGGGATGGTGCTTCACACATAAAGTTCCAGCAATGGTATTTGCACACAAGCCCCCCCCCCCCCCCCCCCCCCCCTCTCTTAATTTCAGGATAGGAAAGTAGAGCTTTGCAACACAGTATTGTGGAGATAGTACTTTGATACCGCCCATTTGGGATCTGTGGCAATATCTTTGGGGAAGAAGAACAGACCCACTTCCCTAACAAGCATGTCATAAGAGGCTTGTAATTAGAGTTGTGCTTGAAACAGATGTTTTGGGCTAACAGGGGGTGATACCACAGCCTAGTTGTAAACCCCAATGAAACATTACAACCATTAGAAGCACTTTGGTATAGGGCCAGAAGAAATGTCGTTTACTCTTCTGCATTACATCAATTTCCCTAACAGTGCTAAAATTAACTGAAACAACAATGCATAGGTTTTAAGAGTTAACCTAAAAGTCACATTTACCAACTAAACATAAAAAGCAGGGTTTATAAAAAATAGTATTAAAAAGATCCCCAACATAAAGGTACAATGCAGAATGCGGCACTAGCACCCATCAGCCAGTGTGAAAGCCCCTTGCCAATACTCAACTTCCCCTGCTTTTCAGTATTTTCTAATTGTATAAGTCCTTTTTTGTGCAGGTCGACCACTGCCTCCTCTTTCTGGAATCTGAAGAATCTCACACCTTAAATTATTGTTATTTATTTTGTTCTGGGCCGGCAGGCAGAGATCAATATGTTTTGCCACGTTTGCTGACGCAGGGAATAAAACGCCATTGATAACAAGCTCTATATACCATATACGACCTACTAGACTACGCTATACAGATTTTAACTTTATTACGATCATAAATGTCTATGGTTGGTGAATCTAGGGGGGCGCGGGAGGAGGGCATTAAACAGCTCAATAAATAAACTCTCAGGCATGTATCAATCCTCAAAGAGGCAGGGGAAGGAAAGTGATTTTGGGGGCCCGATTTTTGATTGCATTTTTCAATTTTTAATTCGTGAATTGGGAAAAAAAAAAACCTTTAACGTAAGATGACATTAATTTTAAGTAAAGTCCTAGATTAGGACTAGTAATAGTATTAAAATTGTAAAACTGTGTACTAATTGAAATATTTAAAAAGAGACGCAGAGTAATTGGTATTTATTTTAAAGCGCCTTTGGGTTGGCGTATAATTTTTTTCTTGTTTACACTACTGCGCGTCATCGTGAAACCGTAAACAAAATGGCTAACACGCGTTCTTCTGCGTGGCAGTTGACATGTTTTACGACTAGGCTGCGATTTTTCTGATTTTCAGTCCCACACATCCGATTTAATTGAAACCCTACATAGTCACCTTACGTTTACATGTCTGTTAAGGGACTATGATTCTATACCTTTCCTTTAAAAATGGGGCTACGGATATGGAATTGAGCAGGGACACTATAGTACTATTCAGTCTATTCAATATTTAATTATTTTTATAAAAAAAGTGGAACTATTGATTTAGGAGACTAAACCAGACAATCATTAAAGTAATACTATTAAAGGTATGACCATATAAACTTATTTCTTTATGGCGCTGGTCGTTGTTAGCTCAGACAATCTTTTCGTTAGTCACAAGCCAGTCATAAGGGGGTTTACGATCAAGATAACAAAAGCAAAAGCCTTGAGCTCCCCCCAACCCCCTTCGCTAACCTAAAAGCCCCGCTCGGCACAAGGTTCTCATTTCTATTAATAAACTGTCATGTGCCAGTTTCAACCAATAGGATCGAAGCAGGTCATTCACTTCCTTGAGCTCCTGAAAACTAAACATGAAAAATAAAATTAATTAAAGCAAAATTACAATTAACTTACCTGTGTACAATTATCTTCATGCCTTTGAAGTTACAGAAAACATTTTTGGTCAATTATTGTACGTTCATAAACAAGATCATTCATCCATTCAGTCCTGATTGTGAAATCCGCGCAGTGCATTGTGGGATTGAGTATAAAACCCTAAGCCACGCTAAAAATTTGGTAGTAAATGGCGGACAGTCTAAGACAAATTTTCCTTATTATTAACGTGTATAGTCCGGTATAGGTTGAAAGATGATTGCTGTGGGAGCCGACTTTCTAGAGCCCGAGCCTAATTCATCCACTGCTAATTTCCAGGTGGCGCCTGTGGGAAATGAGGTAAATATTACTAGATTATAAAATAGAATTGTTTGTAAATAAAATATCATTTTGTGGCAGTTTATTATATATTCGTGGTGTTTCAACTGTTTCATGTATGTATTGTAAGTTATTGACATTTGGTGTTTGTAATATTTTTGGCATGGAATAAGTTCTTAGTTGTTTTTTTCCCTTTAAAAAAAAATGCAATCATTGATTCATTGCTAGTTACGTGACTCTATCCAAAATATATTTCGTTTACTCGATGCAGTCTTGTTGGAGCCTGGGAGTGCAAAACCAAATAAACGCGCGCGTTTCATTTATATACCCGGCTACGTTGTGACGTCAGTCCAATCATTCCAGGACCTGCTTTCAGCCAATCCGGAGCGGGGACGCTATCTGATCACGCAGCGGGGTCGTGACACCTTCAGGTCAAGGTTTGAGCGGCAACAGCGTTTGGGGAGGAGAAGATTAGGAAATGTTTCTCAAAATAAGATAAAATGACCCCGCCACGAACGTTTTATCTAGCCTGCAGACATTTTAATTTAAACTCACCCGTCTTATACTTTGGAAATAGATAACCTCTCAGCTAGACTAGACACAGCTCATGCTGGACAAATCACAACAGGTTACATACTATAGTCCTGCTGGTAACATATGATACTGTATTGACTATTCAACTATTGTAATCACCACCACTATCCTGTCAAGTCACATAGGGCTCAGTGACTTACTTCTTACTGTCCAGTCCTCCATTTTGTTATAATGTAGACTTAATTATGAGGTTTGGGATTTATTCCTCTAGGATTAACATATGAAAGGTGACTCTTTGAGCCCTTGGATGCCAATCCGTTATACGGGGGGGGGGGGGGGGGGGGTGGGGGGGGGGGGGGCAGGGGGGGCCCCCTAACTTTGGTTATTGACTTATGTTTCCTTGTTAGTAACATAATTGACCAGCACTGTTAGCCTGCACTTGGGACACTCCCATAAGTGCTCAGGGAGTTCCCGATGGAACCTGTCTGATTGTATATCTGTCTCATCCATCCCCTGCATACAGATCTATTCTTTAAAATGAATGTGCACACCTGTTCCCAAAGGGCACCTGCATACAGATCTATTAAAATGGATGTGCAGACACTGCTTAATTACTGGGAAAAGACCCAAATCAAGAGATGGATGGACAAGAACAACTTTCTGCTGGAGTTTACAGCCAAACGCTAAGACAGGGAGAAATCTGAGTCACTGCCTTGGTAAGCAACTAACAGTGTAATGCAAAAATAGCAGTGGAAAGAAAATTGTGTTACAGTAATCACTTTAAGGCATTAAATTGTTAGCAGTGAGAAATAAAAATAAGCAGCATGAAAATGTATGGTGCTTCATCTCAGTGACTCTATGTGTAAAGATCTTATAACATTAGATTGCTGAAAATAAATACCATCTATTTCATTTCATTGTGATCTATTTTATTGACCAAAAATCATGTCCTGAAAATTCCAGAACTGAATAGATATTTCTAGTTTAAAAAAAAAAAACTAAACATGATGATACACTGAATTTAAAATAGTCATTAACTCTTTGAGTCTCAAGGAACACATCATACGTTCATAGGTTACTGCCTAGAAGCCCAATGAATGCATGATGCGCCGATTTTAGTCTATTTTGACTACCCCTTGGGCCTGTGATGCTTAACTCTCTGGGAATCAAAGTTAAATTATTTTCAGCATTATATCTGTAAGTAAACATGTAGATTCAATATTTTTTTCCTTCTGTTTTCAGTTGCCGTCACTAAACTGTGACTTTGGTGACCTTCTCCTCCCCAGTGAACTTGATCAGTTGCTCATGCAGAATTTTTGTGACATAGCCCTCTCATCAGAGTCTTTCATGCATTGGGACTTGAGTATGCCAGACAGTGAACACAGTGTACCCCTTCAACCAGCGAATGATCTTCCTTCTTTCTTGTATGAGAACACACCTAATTCTAGAGACTTGAACCTACTGTTCCTGGAGAAGAGCCTAGCCCCTCATGGACCACCAGTCCCTGGTGTCATCACTGGGGATTTAACACCACCACACCCAGGGGGTCTGACCCCTACCAACATGTCTCGCTCAACGTCGCCAGCGTGGAGTGAAAGCAGCGGCAGCATGAGTGCCAGCAGCGTGTCGGGAGGAACCCTGAAGGAGAACCTTGCAGCCAGACGCAGCAACCCGCTCCCCAGGCACAAGAGGCCAGCCCATAAACGAGCTGAGATCAAACGTCGAGATAAGATTAAGGTACATTGAGAATTTCAATACGCAGTTACATATAGGCTTCTGTGTCTGTTTCTTTCCCTATGTACACTACATATGTATTTTAACCTTTCTTTCCCACATTCTTATATATTACCACACAAATATTCTTGTACTTGCACTTGATATCCATGTAAATATTCTATTTATTCATGGAATTCTCATACTTGCAGATTACTTCCACAGAAAATCCTCAAGTCTGCAGATTATACCCACACAGATATTCTCATATCTGCAGATTATATCCAAATTGTTCTCATATCTGCAGATTATATCCACACAGTTTATCATATCTGCAGATTATACCCACACAGATATTCTTATATCTGCAGATTATGTTCGCACAAATCATTCCCACATTGACCTGATTATTTCAGACCCCAGCTAACACCGAAAATCTAATATTTGCATTTCAGACCTCTTTAGATGACATCAAAGAATATGTGCCATCTTTACGAGACAAGGGTAAACTCAGCGAATCTGCCATCCTTTCTAAAGGTGAGAATGAATTTCTGCATTTTACAACTTTCTCTTGATACCCCTTGTACTTGTTTGCCAATGTCTTAATTCAGATTTGATTTTCAGGTTTATGGGTAAGCAATGTTAATTTTTTTGTTTTAAATTATTAGCTAATTTTATTTTAATTAAATTCACTTGATATTATGCATTTGAGGATGGTACAAAGGCCATTAAAGCAGTTTTTTTTACTTTAAAAAAATATTCTGTGAAATGCATTTGTGTGAATGCAAGTTTTTAGTGTAGGAATGCATTGTGGATGGTGCATTTTGTGCGAGTGCAGTGGTGCGCTTGAAATGAATGTTGAGAATTGATTTTGTTTTGTTATCACGTGGTCAATGCTGTTAGTTTTTAGTGTGGTTAGATGTGCCTGCATTAGGGAGGCACTTGACCCTTATTCTGACCAGTCTCCCTCTTTTAGCGGCTGAATACGTTCACCTTCTGAAAGACGAGCATTTGGAGCGAGGGAGCAAAGTGGCAGAACTCCGACGAGAGATAGAATGCCTGAGCTCAGAAATTCAGTAAGTTTTGGTGTTGCGCAGGCCAGGCACAGAGAGACCCGCACACCCTCATCGTCTTCGTTTCCCCTGTGTGCATTACCTGCCTGTTCTCTAGTCTCTGCTTTGGGGGCAGAAGCACATCTCTGGCCGCTGACGTAGGTTTGCGAACAGAGAAAACACTGCAGGTTTTAAGGACTGGTAACATTTTTAAGTCGTTCTGAATTAAGTCTAGTTGTCATGTCACTAGCCAACTAGATACTTGTCACTGACTGGCTCCCGCTTGTCTTGTATCATTTGACTTATGACCGACTGACCCCTTTTGTCATGTGCTGTTGACTTCAGACTGACAAAGCCCACTTGTCATATACAAGAGACTTTTGACTGACTAAGACCACTTGTCATGTATTAGAGATTTCTGACAAAGACTACTTGTCATATACAAGAGACGTCTTACTGACAAAGCCCAGTTGCCACACTAGAGAATTATAACTGACAAAGCCCACTTGTCACATACTATAGACTTCTGACTGACTAAGCCACTTTTCATGTATTAGGGACGTCTGACTAAGCCCACTTTTCATTTACAAGAGACTTATGACTGACTAGGCTGCAATATTTGCGCCTTTCGACCAACACATCAGATTTCAAGACACTCCTAATTATTCACCCTCTATAATTATGTTTTACCACCCCTACCTGCCCAACACACACAAGAATTGTAACCCTGGAACCGACACGCATTGACCACTTGTCATATAACTAGAGACTTTTGGCTGACAGCTTATTTATCTTGCATGATGGACTTCTAAATGACTAAGCAAACGTGTCATATACTTTTGCCAACTATAGCCTTATGACTTATTAAGCCCAGTTGTCATATACTAACTAGAAATGTCTGATATATTAGCCAGCTATATACCTGTCACTGACTAGAACCCACTTATCATATACCATTTTACTTATGACCGACTAAAGCCCACTTGTCGTGTGCAATTGACTACTGACTGACTTTAGTAGTATACACTATATAGTCTTCTGTGTGACAAAGCCCACTTGTCATATACTAGAGACTACTGACTAAGCTCATTTGTCATATCTGGTTAGCTAGAGATGTATGACTAAGCCCATTTGTCATATACTAACCATTTGGAGACCTCTTACTAAGCCTTGTAACTGTTAGCCCCAACATCCCTGTGGTCGTCCCTCATTTGAGGGTGATTGGGGGGGGGGGGGGGGTAGATCAACTGCCCCTTAGCAAGATTATCATAAAGGGCGACTAAGTAAGGAATTGCAGACATGTTAGGTGGAAAGGCACAGGTATCACAGTCTAGTTCTAAACCACAACACAATGTTTCAGCCACCCATTGGGGGGGGGGGGGGGGGAGAGGCAGAGTGAAGAAGATTATTGGTCAACCCAAGACTTTTCATGGAATACTATTCTTATCCCTGGATTAAAAATTATCACATAGCACTGTAGAAATGTGCAGTACCACCATTCACATATTTTGGGCCTCAAGTCTTATAAAGTGGGCTAGGGTGACGTTCTTCTTACTCAGTCATTCTTTCCCGTATTTGTCTTCTGAAGTAGCCCTTAAAAAGATGGTGGGCACGTTGTGGTTTACAGCTAGGCTGTGTTATTTACACCTTTCGGCCAATTATCCCTAATTAGTCGCCTTGTACGTTATGCATGTTAGGGGCAGCAGTCTATTCTTCACCCCCCACCAAATGGGGCCCTGAACCCACATTGGTATCTTTCCTGGATAAATCTCTGGCATCCATATAATGGGGTTGTCCACCTCTACGCCCTTCCCCACAAACTATGCACTCTTTGAAAGACAACTGCAGATAACTTACTTATTAACTGACTGTATCCTGTTTCAGATTATAAAGAAACTATTTTTTCTTTCAGTTACTTAATGCATGAAAAAAAAAAAAGGTTATTCAGTAGACACTGAAAATATCTGTCAAACTTCTGTTGCTTTATAATTCCTGGTTGAGGGAATTCAAAAAAAAAAGATTTGAAGTTAGTGACAGCTGCTAGCTTAGTTGTCTAACATTTGTGTTTGTTTGCAGAGTAGTTTGAATACTGTTGAGTCATGAAGCTTTGAAAAGCTTTAGACCAGGGGTGGGCAAACTGGCCCTCCGAGCAATTTTTAACTGGCCTGTGAGGCCGGTGTTAAATTGCTGTACAGTCTGGCCATTGTTCTTACAAAATAGAATACAAAAACATACTCAAGTATGCAGAACAAAGAAAATTCAAAATATCATATTAAAAGGGGTAACCTTAACAGCTGTAACCAAAAACAGATGTTGCCAAATCTTTAATCCAACTAATGGAACACGTGTTGTGGACAAACTCAGACTGTTACAAGGAAGTCTGGGTGTTATATTTATAATGGATTTGTCTTTTTGGCTCGCGACAGGCTTTTCAATTCTAAATTTGGCCACCAGAAAAACAAAAGATTGCCCACCCCTGCTTTAATTAATATAATATACTTTATTATTATTATTATTATTATACATCCTTGAGTTAGTTAAATATGTATTTATATATTGTTATATACAGTACATAAAAAAAATATTTAAAAAAAAAATCTCAAAGAAATTAAGATAACAATTTTTTTTTAAATACAAGCGTTAAATGTAATTTGTAAAAACTAAGAGTAGTTGATTAAAACTTGTTATCATAAAAAGTGCAATAAGTTTTGCCATTTTCTCTAGGTCTCAGGTTAATTTATCTGTTGGGCATAAAAGTAAAAATCATCCAAAATAGTCTCATTTAATGTTAATAAATTATCGTATATTACAAAAAAAATTTTTTTTTTTTAAAGAAGAAGAGGAGGAAGCCCTTCATACCTTTTGAAAAGACACTTAAAAATTGAGACCTAGGGCAGATATCAGTCATGTGAATATGTGCATTCCTTGAAACTTGATTCTCTGCTGATATTTAAGTTGTTCACATGTAAAATTTGTGTTGTTTTCTCTTAACAGTGGTTTTCAAGATAATCTCCCAGCTGCCGGTTTGAGAGAAGAAGCCTGTGTTGCTCCCACGCTTGATGAGATGTATCGCACCTGGGCTACGGAGGAAAGCCAGAAGTCCACAAAGTTTTTTATTGTATCCCTTTTACAGAAATTTTACTTTTCAAATGGGACAGTGAGGAACATTTTCATTTGTGGAACCAAGCAAGTCTGGGGATTGCAGTGAAGTTAAAACCTCAATTAAGACTATTAATTTTACTTTTTATTATTGGATTACCCAGAGTGGGAAAAAAAATCCAGCTTTTAAAAATGTATTTGTGGTCAAGACCCTTTAGGAACATGTGGGTAAGCAAACAGATTTCTGGGGTTGGTGAGAATGATGCACTGGGTAGGTACTACAGAATCGGGTTCTACAGAATAATCCTGGAAATTCTTGTTGCTCACACAAGTTACAAGACACACAAAAAACCCTCCAGGTTTATTGAAAGAGTGGAAGATGGCAAGAAGAGATTCTTTAGATTTTCATCAATGCATGAACTGTTTGGCAGGAATTTTGACAGTGGTGTGGGGCCGACTGTTAGGAACGCAGTGACAAACTGATGAGTGTTAGTAAAGCCACAAACTGCCAAACAATCCTGTGGTCGGTTCTGCGGCGCCCAATGAATGATAGTTGGATACTACAGTCGCATGAAAAGGTGTCAGCTCATGAACTGATACATGCTGTTGGATGTTGCAAGAAGTGGATCAGGCTAATTATTCACACCAGTTAGCTTGCTTTGTAATTATATGTGTAATAATTAAAAGTACGCAGTTGAAACTGTCATGTTCCCTAACTGATGCTTAATTGTGCTCTGTAGGATAAGATGTAGAGTTTAGTTTATGTGGGGTCTGTAACTGGTGTTTAGTTCAATGGTTCAACTCAGTGATATAACAATATTTAGTTTATGTTGGATACCCTTATTGGTGTTTAGATAATCTCAGTAACATACATGTACAGTTAACAAAACAATGTAAGGTTGAAATTGCGTTGTGTTCCCTAACTGGTGTTTAGTTCAGCTCAATAACGTCTCGGCTGTTTGGCACTTTCAAAGAAGTTGTTGGGCCTGCAACAAGCCTTAATGGTCTATTCAGCAGAGCACAAGAATGGCAATCAAAGTATTTGGCTCTACCAGTCATCAGAAAACGTAAGTGTGAGAAACCCAGTTTTTTTAAACCAGAAAACAGTTTAACAGATTTAAGCTGTTTTTTTTTTATCAGTCATGTGTGAATTTGTTAAGTATATATATTTATATGTAGTCATCCTTGCTGTTGTGTTTATTCTTGTTATAATATATTCTTAATATAAATAATTTGTAATGTTCTTAAATACTTGCTGTATATTGCTAAATGAACTTAACTTGCTTTATTTATGAATGCAAATGCTGGGTAAATGAGTTGTTGGAAGGGCTGAATGTAAGATTTATGACCCTTTGAAAATCAAGTTGGTTGCAAATTTATTAAATAATATGAACGATGTATAATCTCATGTAATTCCACTTTCATATTTGACAATTTCGGGTGGGAGTGAGTGAGTGAAGTTCAACCCCGACAGGGCTGCACAACGAGGAATAAACACCTTGTGATACATAGTGCCACTATTTGGATGAGAATCACCCCGGCACAAGTTTCAGAAGCCCGATCAACCATTAGGTTATATTAGGGCTCCTAACGATGCCTACGGTAGGGCTTTAATATAACAAACAAAATGCATCACATATTGGGGAATAATGATTACAAACATCAGGGATACGGGATACTGTTTCCTGTTCATCTGGTCACCTTTTCAATAAAGGTCAATGGTTTTTGAAGTACTCACATGTTATCTTTCCACTTTGTTCTTGGTCTGTCAGTATATCTCTCTTTCTTTTCTCTTTCTGGTGTGTGTGTGACACCAATGGACATTCTCTTAAAGTGAACAATTTTTTTTTTTTTTTTTTGGTATGCATTTGGTTCTGTGCTGACACTTTCTCTTATGACCTACCTAATTCTTAATTTTATTTCTGACATTTAATTACGATGTAATTCTTTTCTTAATTTTCAGAAATTCTCAGCGGGATGTTGGATCTATGTCGCCAGAGCAATATTGTGATCAGCAGTGATAATCTCAAAGTGGAGTTTGGGTCATCGACAGATAATTTTCAGCGTGAAAGCATTTCATGACCCTAGCTTTTGATGGCTGTTTTTGTAAATATGTGATATTTCTCATTATTTATACATATGTTAGCTTATATCTTGTGTTTTCAAAACTGAAACACTGTGGAGTATTTCCACTGTTGTGAAAATGAGATTATTTCTGAAATATTTCCTAATTCTTCTGTTTAGTTAACTACAAGATGACGGGGTGGGTTGTACTGCATACATAGTTGAGGAACTCTTTGCAGTAATGAAAACATCGTGGTATGAGATTCCATTATCATTCTTGCCGATTGTACGGGTTTCTGCGCTTGAAGAGGGGAAGGGAAGCCCTGCTACACAGTTTCCCTGGATTTCATGCTGGGATGGGAAAAAGGGCTTTACATTAGATTAACTCGGATAAATGTAATCTTTATAAGTTGAAAATTTTGTCCCCCACTATAATGGGAAAGGGGAGGGTGGAGACAGGTAGATTGGGCTTATTAAGTACATATCATAATTTGACAAAGTATAGTTGTGAATCATGAATTAGACCATGACAGTTGCACAAAGCACAGTTCAGAATTGACGTTGTGCTGTTTTCCTATTCTAAACAGTTCTCACGTTTTTTTTTCTCCATTAATTGGGGGCATTATTTCTGCTTCTCTCTCTCTCTACAATTAAGTGTGAAACATATCTCTCTGTAATGTTCTCATGTCATACCCCCCTTTGATTTACATGGATATACACCATATACTTTTAAAAAAACTGGAAAAAAATGTGTTTGCTGTATTTTACTGTTGTGATATTAAATGGGTTTTTTTCCTCAACTTAAAAATAACTTTTCAGATACTTTGTTTAAAAATAATAGTTTATCCACATTTGTCTCTGGAAACTAAGCCCTGGTTGTGAGTAAAGTTAAAAAAAAAAAAGTGAAGGGCCCTTTTCCACGCCTTTTAGCCTATAGGGCTAGACCTATATTTTTATAGACCAATTGGCACAAGATGGGTGATGTGGTCAGCATCTTGCCAGCCGCCTCTACTTTCCAGGACTCACCCAGTACCCACTCAAGGCTGGGTCGACCTTTTGAAAAAAGTCAGGCTCCTCCAGGCACCGAACCCCGAACTTCCTTTTCGCCGCAAGCGTCTAGCCGCACCGCCACAGGGACTCCCGGCCCTGGTTGTACCCGACTTGTTCTTTCTGTGTCCGAAACAAAATATAAACTTTTCCATGACACATGATTTTATTTATATTATGAGACCAGAGTTGTAAAATCCATAATTGTTTTAACGTATTGTTCATCCTGGACCATGTATTTTAAATTTTTGCTGCACGTATGTTAGTACTAAATACATGAAAAAACTTTTAGATGTGGAAATACATACTAACAGTCCAAACATACACACAGAAATGTAACACATGCTATTGCTAGTACTTCAGTGTTAAAAACATACAGTGCCGCACTTCCTTGTGTACCTCAGTGATAACACATGCAGTCAACGGGGTACCTCTGATGCATCTTTTGTTCACCCTTAAAAGGGCAGCTGTCACATGTTTTATAGCTAGGCTGCATTATCTGTGTCTCTTGGTTAACATTTCAACACACTTTTGCTTAATTAGTCACCTTTTACAATGTTTGTTAGTGGATCTGTTCTTTCCCCCCTCCAAAATGGGGTCCGGGAATCCACAGTGGGGAAAGACATTCAAGTTAAATGCTTTTTTTTTTTTTGTCTGGTGCAGCCTTCATTTCAGCAGTGTGTGATTTATTCAGTTATATGCACTCATTTTATTTATTTCCCCCTGGAAGTCTGTCAGTCCTGATACACATTGTTGACACAAGGTAATTGTTTTCAAGTGTAAATATCATGTACATAAAGATTATAGTTTTCATTTGTTGGCATTGCATCTATCTGTTGCGATGAAATAATTCACTATGGGAGCGTAGTATTGTGGCTATTTACATCAGGTAAGGCCAGAATCCGTGGAGTCATTAACTGTTGACTAGCCTGATCAGCAAGAATGGCATAAACCATCGCATATTTGGGGTCCAGGTGATTTGAGGATTTTGTCATATTTGTAGCCTGAATTAAACTGTTGCCTTTTCATAATGCTACATTTTACATTTGAAAGACTACGACAGCATTAAAACAGTGTTACTATAATGTTTTTTGTAAATAGACAACGTACATACAGATTTATAAATAATATTTCTATAATTATGTTAATGTGAAAGTATTGATGATGCCTGTAATAAATACATGCGTTTTGAGAATGAAATCTGATGTTTGTTAGAATATTGTTGTGTTGATTTTAGCGAGTCCACATTCTTGTCTTGTTTGTATATTCATGTCACATTATTTGAATCAGGACAACAAATGTAAGACTTGACCAGTTTGCTGAATTCAAGGCCAATACCAAGGTTGCATTAGAAAAAATATCAGCAACAAAATAATTTTCAAATACATATGTATATGAGAGTTAACATTTGTACCTTTGGCTTATCCTGGCACATGGTGCTAGAAATGTATTTTGATGGACCACTCAGCACTTGCTGGGTGATAAACAAATTTTAGGCCGGGTTGATCAGACAGCGAAGGTCATTTTAGAAAAATCTGTCTGATCTCATTCTTCTTGGGGCCTTTGGTCTTGTTCCATAACTTAAGTTGTGTGTGCATATCCGCTTTACAGATCTGGCTATGCACTTTTGGTTCCTTGCCTCTCAGGCAGATACATTTAAATTCATGCATTCCGACTTAAAAGAAAACCTCTCTGATTGTCTACTCTTAGGACATGGGGGGGGGGGGGGGGGGGGGGGGTGTCTTTTCTCTTGTTTTTTCCATAATGGAGCCCCGGAACCCACATGAGGTCACTGATTTGAACCTAGATCTTTGGCACAGCAGGTGTTGGTTTATGTAAAATTCAGGGACTATGTGCAACCGGTACTTATTTGATTGGATTCAAGAACCGAGATCACAGCACTCGGGGCATTCCAATAAGCGCTCAGTCCCCATCTTCAGCAGCCAGCGAAGAGTTCTGATACTAATGGTGCCAGTAGCTTTCTGATTAAACGTCATCTTGCCTTTCCTCTGAGCCTCGAGCTTCCCAGAACCTCTCGTCACCCCCAACTGCATCAATCTCACCAGACTGGTGATTCATCTGCTCCTCCGAATTGTACACGCTCTCCCATAAGGCGCTAACCACGTCTGCCCTATCATGTAGCAGTATTCCACCAAGTTGTGCAGAGCCAGCCAGTCTGTCCGCCTGTTCATTTCCCAACACACCGGCGTTACCCGGTGAAAAAATCCAGACAATACTCCTCACTTGTGTCCTCCACAGCGAAGTTCACCTTAACATATTTTCATTTTTTGTTGGAATGATTTTACAGCTGCAAATTTCATGACAATCATCCTGCCTTAATGAGAGAGACAAATTGGCTCACTTTAGATTCCAATTTCATTTGTGCATTAATTTGATACTTTAATGCTGTGTGTTTTTAAATTTTGCGTCTTTCTTAAACCATTTTTTTTTTTTTTGCCTTTTCATAATTTAATTTCTTTGAAAATGTTAATATTCTCCACAAAAAGAATGATTATTTTTCTCTCCTCCCTCTTCCCCCTCCAACTAATAATTGTAAGATTTCTTCAGTTTCTTGGTGTCAGCCATATTCAATTTCAGGATTATTATATCTACAGCACGTCTAATGAGTTATTTGCATTTGGTCCTTGGACTCACACTCAGTCACTGAGGAAAAAGATTGGAGCTGTTGAAATGAAATGCTATAGAAGGATTCTTAGAATACCATGGATCAGGAAGAGGAAAAACATCGACATCCTGAACGAGTTGAACATCAAGGAGAACTGGCTCATAAACAGCATCCTGTCCCGAAAGTATTTTGGCCACATCAAGTGTCATGGTGGCTTGGAAAAGACAGCGATGGAAGGTGCAGTTTGTGGAAGACGAGGCAGGGGTCGACCACCGCGAAGATGGATACAAGACATTAAAGAGGCATTGGCATTGAAAGCACATGGGGCTGAAGAGCTGGCTAGAGAAAGGTATACTTTCAGGCGTGCCGTGAAGAGAGCGACGTTCTGTTAAGGACTTGCTGTTTGATGATGATTGGTTCTTAACTTCTTGAAGTTGCATTTATCGAATAACAATGTAACATCATTATGTCTGTTTTGAAATTGTGGCTTTCTTAAGATCACACAGATCTAATGTTTTGTACTTCTGAGAAGTATCCAGGATGCTGTAAACTGGATCTGTGGTTTCTTGACTGCTGTTGGGACATGTGTGAACTTTAACATACAATGGCCAGTTATTTTAATTTACTAGTAATAACTATTACCTTGCCAAATCAATAATGCTACACTTCTAAACAACCCTTTCACCCTGGTAATGCTTAAAAAAAAAGGGTCATAAAACCCTGGGAATACCAAAACATCAGCACCGAACCATTTTTTTAAGAAAAAAAAAAATGACTGTAAAAATTGCTAGAAAAATCCAAACAGCCAACAGATGCTGGGGTTTGTTTGGTGATGTCTTCTAAAGAATGCAACTGTCTACCATTCGGAAGTAGAGACCATGACCAGCAGCTGCTCTCAAATTCAGCCCTGATCTTTCCCCTGTGGGTTTGGAGCTCTCCATTGTGGAGGACAATAAGTACAGAACCACTGCCCTCTAACAAGAATGTTGTTAAAGGTGAGTAATTAGAGGTGTTGCCTTCCAAGTTGGAGTGCATCTGCCTGAGAGGCTAGGAGCCTACAGTCTGCATACAAGTAAGCCAGATCTGCAAAACAGATGTGAATGCAGTCTGAAGTTCTGGAACATGACTAAGGTCCAAAACTGAACAAACAGCCAGAACTTTCTGCTGGAGCTGACAGAAGCTGTAAAGAAGCCCCTACCTACTGCAATAATTTAATGCTACACAAGTGTGGTTATGATTGAGCTGGAGAAAATATGTATTCATCTTGCCCAAGGTGTCTGTAGGCTAGCGGAGGGAAGAAGGTGCCTTATTCAACACTTAATAATACAATGTATATACATAATTT